CGTGGTGATTCGAACGACTTTGGCGCCTATCATTGGAGCTCAAATTTGAAGTAGAGTAGATTACTAGTATCAGCTGACCCTACTAAACTACTCTACTTCGAGTTTGGGCCCCAATGATAGGCGCCAGAATCGTTCGAATCACCACGCACTTCGCCGCGCAATTTGCCGCGCGCATCCTCGGACGCACGTAAGTACCCATACCCTTCGCAGAATGTTTCATCGATTTTTTCCCTTTCAACTCTAATTGTATCAGCATTTAACGCATTTTTCCAACAGTAATCGTTTCCATTTGAAGGGAGACGTAGTCGTCATGAAAAGCCTCGCTGAGGCAAAACGCGACGAGGAACAGCGCAAGCTTGCGGAAGCGTTAAATGTGAGTTACATCATTTCTATGAAACCAAGGAGAACATTGAATCTGTCATAGAATTCGGTGTAGTCAATTGTGTTGTTTTTAGAAAGATCGAAAGGAATCTTTTGTGGACGCACATTTGAAGGCAGGAACTAGCAAGCCTCAGGTGAGGATTTTCACGAGGGGCGGTCTCGAGAATTTTTATGCCGTTTTTTTTCTTTTATTGTTCATATTTTTACTTCCAGAATGTAGCTGCCGCCGGAGAAAGAGTGCCGTTCGATCGCGAAAGGGATATAGGAGGTGCTGATGGTAAAAAGATGTCTCTCGAGGAAGTGAAGGAACGTGCAGGACAGCTGAGCTCCCGCTTTGCGTCTGGAACCGGCCAAAAGTTCCTTTAATTGGTTCTTGTGCTATGGCGTCATGAGGAAGTACCATTTCTAATAACACGTTGTAGTGATCTTTATACGGTTAATCGTCTATCTTCCAGTAATTCATTCGGGTTATTTATTCTTTATTGGGTTCCTTTAAATGTGTCGTAAGCTCGTTTCATGGAAGTGATTGTTTAAAAATGTTTTGTTCCCTTTATTTGGCAATTTCACTGCCATAAGCTGTGTGTTGTGTTATTACAAGGATGGATGGGACTGGATAAGATATGCTCACTGGACATTTGATGAGTTTTATTGCTTGGTTCATAGTGAATCGATAGTTCGGGCGTAGGTCCAGGGCTAAATTGAAGCTTATCCTGTTACAGATAGGTCAAGATATCCCCATATTCCTACATGCTGGCTAAAGTGTGCAGTTAGTTGCTTGGTGGCATGTTCGTATCCAGTGAGCACCTACTGTGAGGTCAAGTGCGAAGTGGTCCT